TTTTCTCTCTAGTAATATTTCTTTTACATCTAAGAAAATGATATTATAACAGAAACTACTCTCTCTCTCCCTCAGATAACAAAATCACTCCTCAGAGCAACAACCTGTTCAGATTGCGAAAAACATTTAGCTATCTTTGTCAGTGCATAGGCCAAATTTGTCAAAAGAAAAAATTTAGGTTTTGTCAAATTATGATTTTTTATCTCTAAAAGCATGATAAAAGTAATTAACCTGACTTTGTGAAAGGGTTAAATAATACTTACATCCCGATAGGAGGTTAAACTGTTTGCACGTTCGCCATGATAGCGAGAATCAACACTAATGGCTATATATCCCCGCGAAGCATATGCCTGAAACAAGCAAAACAAATTTCAGTATCTTATCAGAAATATTCACTTATATTGATGTACGGGTTAAGTAGATCCACAAGAGAGACTACCTCAATCAGTGGCCGTAACCACTCCTTGCATTTATGTGTACTATGCAGGAAAACAATAGCAGGCCTTTTTTGTTGAATTTCCTCCTTCATGCTTAAAATCAACACAGGTAATCGTCCTTGTTCTCCAGCCTATTAATAACCATATTAATAAAATCCTTCAAATCCTTAAAATAAAACAATATGTACACTGTAAGATCCCAAAACATGTTGATGCAAATCACATGCATCTATTAGTATGCTACTTGTTTTCTCATCTCTGCTATTGATTATTAGAATAATTGATTGGTTATCCTAATTGAAATTGATTAAATCCAACTCACTCTGGAATCTATTAGTATGCTCTGCTAATACAAGTACAGCACAACTTATTTTTGAGAACAGAGACTGGAAGTCTGATAATCTCCTCTCGATAGTTATACCTAATGGCAATAACTGAATAATGCTCTAATTACCTCAGTTAGTAAATATAGGTTTTCCTCTACAAGTTGGTCCTTCAGAGCGCCCATATTCACCTTTGGGCAGGACTCCATTGCCTGGTAAAATGTCTCAAAAATTAAATAAGCATAATATAAGCAACATGTTCAGTAACAATACTTTCAAAGATAATTTTAACCGAGAATCTTGGAAAAAACTTGTGGACTTTTCACTTGTAATCGCTGATTAAAGTCAACTAGGGAAAGTACATTGGATTTTGAGAGCGAATAATTGAACCGAGGGATTATCACGAGACTCCCACCTCACTGAATCGCAATGGAGAAGCATCCTGAAATAGAGGACTTGGAACAGGTTTTGCAGGTTCTACGGTCAAGGGAACTGAGTAATTCACCATTTTTACACAAAAACAACAAATTAAACACATTGTTAGACATAATTCAGCACAGTACACCATAAAGAATGAAAAGAAATCACAATTAGTTAACTAAACAACAAGGTCAAACAACGAAAGCGACAATTTCATGTCTTCGTACATATTGTCACTCTTTTAAAATTTCCCGCAATTTCTCAGCATCCAAGCAGATAATAAAAATATATTAAACGCAATTTACCTTCACCAGATCGTCTGCTTCGTAGAACTTGCAGAAACCGAGTTCGAATCTCATCGGCATGGACAACAGTGTCTCCCATTTTGCTACCTGTTAACTCCTTCATCACTATGGTCACAGTCTGTGTTCGGTATTTATAGGGAAAAGCTTTTGGCGGGTACACTTGCACGTGCGACATGAGAGACACGTACGAGACCATTGGTAAGGTCATCTTGCCGAGAAAGAGACGATGGTTCATGAGGCAAAAATCAGCTTTGCCCATAGCTGGGAACACGTGTCTAATTTTGATTTACGGAAAAAAAAAAGTAAATTTTAGA